TCTGTTCAACTACTCCCCTGGAACTAAGTTAAAAATGGTCTGAAAATGAGTGTTATTAATGATCACTGCTGCAGCAGAAGCACAAACTTCAGCAGATTCAGAGAAAGCTGTGAAGAGCAGCGGGGCTAATCTTATTTCCCATTCCTTTTCTATTAGTGGTGGCTCGGAAAAGCTCTGCTCCAGGTGCTGGTTTGCTCTGAGTCTCTCAGGTCTCTTTGTTGTAAATGTGATCTCTTTAGAGCATGGAGGATAAGATTCAGCAGGAGATGAAAACACATGTTCCAGCAAGCTGCAGCTTCACCCTTTGGCCATTCTGCTCCTCTGCCCTTCGCCCCACACAACAAAGCCAAGGAAGATCATAAAAACAGGGGAAAAAAATAATAATAATAAAAAAAAGCTGGTTTTGTTTACATTAAAATTCATGAGCACATGGTTTGGCCTTTAATCTGCAAAAGTCACAGTATTTGCTCAAAAGGACAGTTTCTCACAGATAGACCAGGCCAGTTAAAAAATTCAGCAGTTACAAAGACAAGAATGACCTTTTTTTGGAGCAAGGAAGAGGCACAAGGGTGGTCTGTTTGTCTAGCTCTCCCCTTTCTTTTTTTCTCTTCTCATCTCTTCAGCCTATTTTCCTTCCTCTCTCCAACACTATAAACCAATTTTTCTGGAAAAAAAATATTGTCAAGAAAGTGTGTGGCAATGATGCTGATGACATTTTCATGTTCATCTTTGTGCATTACTGCAATCACATAGAATATTCTCAGCTTGGTCTGCAGGCTCATTTATTTCCTAATTTGTCTTTGAGAAGGGAAAACCTACAAATATTAAAACTAAAATTAAAAAAAAAGGAAACTGGGCTTAAAGATGTTCTATTTTTCTTGAGGGTGCTGGTAGATAGACAAGAGGGAATGTCAGATGAATAATTCCATACTTCAAAGGACAGTAAATTATTTGTAGAGGTTAGGAAGCGATGCCAGGTTTTTTCTTATACTTTGTGGGGGAAAGATCAGATTTATTTGGAATAGGGGCAGCATTTTCCATGTTTGGAGAGCAAGGACACCAGCCCAGGGGGGAGTGGGGTATTAATTCCCATGGATCCAGGACATGCCATGGAAGTTTTAAAGGGAGATATCAGCATCATTTCCATATCCATAATTTCACAAGCCCACGGATTTGGTGTTACAGATGAAGGGCTGGGATGAATCCAGGCAGAGGTGGTCAACACCTCCCGAAACAGCAGCACCCAGTGTTGGGTTTCACATCCCAAACAATTGGCTGACTGTTAGGAGATGGGTGAATGTCGATTCTTTGCTGCTTTTCTGCCAAGGGCAGGATTAAATCGTGAGATGGGATTTCTTGTTTGGACTCAGATGTTTGTTAGTTCTTATCCATGTCACAGTCTCACAAACCCTGAGTTCTGCAGCACTTCAACAAACTAAACATGGAGCCCCATCTCTCTCTCTACAAGGCCTTTTAAGGATCAACTGTCCCATTGAGAAATGAAACCTAAATTATTTTTGTTTTAAACCCAATAATCAACCACCTGTGCCTGAAATGTGGACTTTTTTATCCAATTACACAAAACCACCCAAACCCATGGAGAAAGAGGAGGAGGAGAAGAAGGTGGAGAAGAAGGTGAAGAAGAAAGTGAAGAAGATGGACTAGCTTCCACCCTAAAACCTCCATCTTGCCTTATATCTATTCCTGTATTCTAAACCCTTAAACTCTGAGTTTTCACCCTGTGATATCGCACACTTCTATCCAAACTCCACCCCCAAAATCCCAGTTCTATCATTCCATTTTGGAAACTTCTCCAGGGCCTCAGGTCAGTGCAGAGTTCTCCTGGGGGTCAGTGCCTGGCAGCACAGAAAGTCTGGAATTCTCAGCATCCAAGGTTCCAGCAGGTGAACTGATGTGATCCCAGCCCTGCATCCTCAAGACAATTTCAGTGCCAAGACCTTTTGCTGCCATGCTGGCACCCTGGCATTTGGGCTGCCAGATCTAACAAGGAATGAGTGGCAGCCTTAATGATCAAACAATATTCCAAGCTGAGCCCGTGCCTTGCAATAACTGAGCACTGCTCCTGGGACGGCTCTGG